TCACGTTGCTTAGTCCAAGTGTGTAGCAGAGCCATAGGGAACGTGGCAAAAATAAGTAATGATTGCTGAGAACAGGGTCCCTGTAGCTCTGTGTGCGTGTGCAGGCACAGGCATTGCACTTCGGTTAAGGGCTGTGCCTTGCTCCCCCCTTGCACATGCCACGGACCCGTCCCTTGGTCCTTCCCTGCTCTACAACAACAGGTGTTAACTTCAACATCCGCCCAGTGGAAAAAAAAAAATATATATATATAGAAAAATACACATGCACACACACATATATATAACAGGTCCTCTCTGGGTGCTCCAAGATACTATGCAGGCTTCTCTCTTGCAGTATTGCAACCAAACAAGAGGTGTTTTGCTTCAGTAGCTGAAGAATACTATGCAAGGCACAGAGGACCAAAATGATCCCAAAAGCCCTGGAAAGAGGATGCTTTGCTTTCCTTCCCACACTGCCCTGCCTGTTGGACTAATAGGGAACGGCCCATTCCTGCGACCCACAGAGCTTCCCCAGGCTGGCAGGCAGCAGCCAGGAGGTGGGTCCTTCAGTAGGTGCTGATATTATCAAGTGCAATCCACAATGAGGGAGTTCAGCTCCTCATCACAACCAGTTGCGAGGCCTGTCTGGTGCTTAGGGGCTCCCTGCCTTGTTCGTCACCCTGTCTGCCTGTCTTCCAGGTACTTTCATTTCATCCTGCATGGCAGGCTGCTTGAGGGGGGCTTCAGGTCAAGCAGTCCCTGGGGTTTTTCCATACTGACATTCCTGCCTGCCAAGCCTAATCTTGCCTGCAGTGTTGCTTATCCCAGCAGGAGGATGAGTGTGTATGAGCTGTTGTTCCCCAGTGCTGCTTTCTTCCTTTCTTTACTTGGCTACTTGCAGATTCAGGGCCACATTTCACTCTTTGGAAGAGCTTCAAACCCAGCACTTCTGTGGGTTTCTTGTTGACCAAGCCCTGTTGCCCTTTCTAGTCTAATTGCAAGTGTAAGCGCTACAGCCACAGCTCCACAGCCACATTGTTTTGCTGCTGAAAACAATTACAATTTTTCCTCTAATTTGAGGCTGGCAGAATTGAAGGAGGGTTCTCTACTCCCCCAGATGCTCACTTCCTTCTCTGTCCCATATTGTCTACCTTGGAAACAGGAAATTGAAGATATCTCTGTCTGCATACAGAATGAAAATGGTGGTGCCTCAGGCCAAGGTCCTTCTGGGAGGGTGATGGGGCAACTTGTCCCAGCCCTGGTTTGATCTGGTAGAGAAACCAGGACTGTCCTAGTCCAGCCTCATATCCAGAAGCCCCAGGGTTCATTTTTAGCTGTGGGAATTCATGATTCCTCTCCCTCCCACCTACAGTTTTCTCTGGTGGCACATCAGCCTCTGATCAGGCTGACTCACCTGAGCTGGCAATAAGCAATACATTTGCAACCTAATCCAATAACAAAGTTCCTTACATGGCACATTGCGAGGTGTTGATGTGCTCCTGGGAGAGTTGCAGGGTGGATTGGGGGAACAATGCTGCCTTGTCTCTGTGCGTCTCTTGCTCCAGCAAATCTCTTTTGCTCTGGAAAGGAATGGGGACAGGATGAGTTAAGTCAGAGCTGCCCGGCAGCCAAATCCAGCCCCCACCATATCTGGGAGGGGCTGGACCTGTGTCCCCCATCTGCTCTGGCAGTTTCATGCAAGGGTAGAAGGGCTGTGTGCCCTTTCCCTGTGGCACTGTGTCCTTGCTCTCTCTTCACTGAATGGCCTTTTAATCTCAGAAATGTCTCTCCTTTCTCTGTAGCAGTGATCTCACTGCCCCCAGCTTTCCTCAGAGGGGACAATGCTATTTCTGTGGCCTCCATGCTAAATGAGGGCTAGTTCTGCTTGCCTCCCAGACTGAGCCTCAGAACTGGTAGTGCTTCATTTTGCTGACACAAGTACTGTATTTGGCTCATTGAGCACGTGACAGGATCGCTCCCTTGTTCCCAAAGGGCTTCCAAGAAGGCAGGGTGAGCGCCCAAGTCGAGGGTCACCCTCAGTAGGGTGCCAACACCTGCAGCCTTATCCCTTCCCACCACTCTTACGTCTGCGAAGGGCCCGCAGGCTGGACACCGGCTCCTGTTGGTAAGATGCTGAGAGCCATTGGGCTGGCAGGGCTTTGCCCTCCGCATCCAACATGTGCCCCCCAGGTTGGGCAGCCATGCGTGCCCTCTTCCAGGCTGTGCCTCCTCTCTGTACCTCGCGCATCAAATGCGGCCAAGCTCCCTGACTACCTCGTGAGGAGGAGGAGGGCGGCCGGGAGGCTCTGTACCCTGAGCTTGGCAGCAAGATGCATCACCCCATCAGCCAAAGAGCAACCTCCCGCCTTTCCCACCACCACCAGCGCAGTCCCGAGGCCAGGGCTTGCGGCAAAGAGTGGCGAGCATCACCGTGGCTTGGGGCAGAAGAGCCGGGTGTCAGGGCAGTCCCGCGGCTCGGCTCATCCCTGGCAGGCTGGAGGCCCCCGCTGCGCCCCGCTCCTCCTCACAGGCTCTCGAAGCCCATTTGTTTGTCTGTGTCTCGCTATATTATGTAAACGCATATAAATCTACATTACTGTGGGCGGGAGGGAGGGGGTCAGTGGAAGATAGATGTAGCCGTGTAAATGCCGTATCTATACTTTCATCGTTAAGGGATTGATATTTTTTTTTTTTTTTTTTAATTTGGTGGGAGTTTTGGATCTTTTTGTGGGTTTTTTTTTTGTTTGTTTTTTTTTTAAGAAATAAAAAGAAATGGCTTGACTGGTTTCAAGCAACCTTATGAACCCACGTCTGGCTGGTGTATGTCTGGGGTGCTGCACAGCGGCTGGCATCTGGGAGGTGTGCTGCTCTCCTGCCTGGTGTGATGGCAGCTCTGCCCAGGGAGCTGGTTCAGGGTCTGGCACATGCAACTTGTTGCTGCACCAGTGGTACTGGTGAGGAGCCCCAAGCCACCAAGCTGCACTCCCATGTGCTGCTGAGGAGTCATCCCCAGGTGAAGCATTTCTCTGTCCTCAGGCACTTTTATCTGCCAGGAGATGAACGGGGTGGTGCTGTGTTGCTTAGCTTCACAGGGGCTTGCAGCAAGGGCTTCTGGCTGTGACATCCCTTGCAACGGAGCTGGGACAGGTCACGCTGCTCAGGCTTTTGATTTACAGTTCCTGGCCATGAGTAGACCAGCTCTTCAATCGCTGCTGTGCCCCAGTTCACCTCTTGGGTATGCCATGAAGGACACACAGCAGGAGCAGCGTTCAGGTGTGGGTATGTGTGTAGTGCCTGTGTGCTGCTCTGGCATAGGGTGGGGGGATGTTTTCCCTGTGCAGCTGCAGCTGGGGGAGCTGCTGCCATATCAACGCTCCCCATGTGGTTCCCACTTTACACTAGGTGTACCTCGGTGTTTACGAGAAGGAGAAATGTCATTTCTAGGTTAAACAGTGCTCAGCAAAGCTTTGCTTTTACTTCCCATGCCTCTGACTCAGTCGAAAGGGGAGCGGTACACAGCTGACACTCCCAGCCCTCCATCGGTGGGATGTGCCATCCATCCGGCAGCCACGGCTGTGCTTCCACACCCACAGCAGTGCTGGGAACCGGGAGGGTCATGAGGACACCGAGAGCTCATTGGGGCTTGCCTTTGTGCCCCAGCCCGGGTGGGTGTCCTAGCAAATGGGGCAGTGCAGGTGTAACAGTTGTTACTTTGAGCTCAAGCCAACTCAGAGGTTGAGCCTGATGATTTTGGGGAGGTGCAGAGAGATGGGGTGAGTGCCAGTCCTTAGAGACTTTTGGGGGTTCAGGCTGATGTGAGGAATGGGGCTGCATTAACTGAAAAGGCTCAGACAAAAGTGGGGATTGGACACACACACACACACACACACACACACACACACACGCGCGTCACGGCACCCAGGCTGGCAGAGGGGAGGAGGGCAGCGGGGGGGGCTGCGGGCGCAGGTGATGGGAGCGGGCAGTGGGCCTCCACGCGGTGCCCGGGGCTCGGCTGGCAGCGGCTGGAGCTGGTCATCACGCCAATGCTAAGTGTGGGGCAAAGTCTCTCTGTGGCCTGAGGCCGGCAGCATTAGTCCGTTGGCACCTCACAAGGATCAGCTCTCTGGATAAATTGGGGCAGCGGTGTTTATTAAAAGGCATTTTTGGCATAAATAGCCATTGTTGGGCTCCTTCACCACCTGCGGCTCACAAGGGTTTAACTATGGCTGTGCTCTTGCCAGGGCAGAGTTATAAATGAATTCTTCCACTCTCCTTTAAACCACATCTGAGGCTGCTTGACTGGTATCTGGCTTCAGTGGGCCACATTTTGGGGTATAAACAGTTTACAGAGCAGCCTTCTGTTGGCTTCTGCGTGTGAAATAATGAGCCAGGCATTGCTACAAAACAAAAAATAATTTAAAAAAAAAAAAAAAAAAAGGAAAAGGATAAAATAAAAAAAAGAAAAAAAAAAAAGAAAAAGCAGCCCTCCTTCCTGGGTCTACATCACCACCTCCCTGGGCCAGCCAGCATGGTCCCCAGGCTGCCCCAGCCCCAGCGCAGGCACAGGAGCGGGACCAGGCTGTCAGCTGCCTTGCTTGATACAATGCAGGTTGGATGAAAAATCTGGGGCGCTTGGAGAGGGCATCTGCCACAGAACACCTCCCCACACCTCTGTAGCCCTAAAATACACCCCACTTCTACTGCAGTGGCCAGCCAAAGTTACAGGGGTTTCCAAGGTTAAATGAGCCAGGAATTCCCCCCTACCCTGCCTTGCTCATCAGGGGACTGAGCAGCCACAAGTGACATCCCAGGAATAAAGCAAAGCTCATGCAAGGTATTTAAGGTGCCTAAGTGTTTTGTTTTGTTTTGTTTTGTTTTGTTTTGTTTTGTTTTGTTTTGAATCAGAGGCGCCTGAGCGGAACAGAGGTGCCCTGCCTCTATGTTTTAGTATTGCCACATCTTGGAAATAAAGGATTTGCTCAGCCTACAGGTCAAACGCTTTTAAACCTCCGGGAGCACTCTTTACAAGCCAAAGTTTTATTTGTTTAATAAACAAGTAAAATTATATTAATGTAAAACAGGTAAATGGACAAAAGTAAAACACACAGCACTGAACACAACGCTATAGAGCACTGACATGTAGAAGTGCAGTTCCCTCCCTCGTGCGATGCCCACCCCCCCCACCCCAGTCCCCCATAAGATTTGCTTGAAAAGCCTAATACAGAGGTCCAAAATCTGATTCAGCTTGAACATGATGTACAGGTCACAGTATTGAATCATAAAGGTAACGATAAGAGAATTAACTGTCTCAGAAAGGGGAGAAGGTAAAAGAGTTCCCCTATCTCTTCTTTTTCTTTCTTTCTTCCTTTTTTTAAATTTCAAAACAAACAGGTTAGGAGGAGAGGGGGGAAAATCCATTGAAATAAACACTTTTCCACTCCAATATATATATATATAAAAAAAGCAGGATTCTCAGTGAACACAAAAAATCTATAAAACTACCATTGATCTGTGTCGTTTTCTCCCCCATTTTTTTTTCTTTTTAAAAGTTGCTTTAAAAAGGATAAAAAGTGCACAGACACCCTTATAAGGCACAAACAGATCTTCTGTACAAATCATAGATCATTGGACTGTTTAAAAAAAATAGCAATACGAGTACTAACAATTATCTGTAAGAGGCTACCTTTTCCTGGAAATCTTTTTTTTTTTTTTAAGAGGCCTATTTTGGAAAATTCCTGTTGCTCTAGGATAAGCAGGGTGACACGTCCACTGCTCTCACGTCCCGCTCCCTGCACAGCTGCACTCTGGCCCCTAACTGAGCTGGCTCCCTTGCTGGCCCTGCTGGATGCTGCCCTGCTGGAAACAGATCTCAGCTGCTACAGCAAAAATTCAACCTGTGCAATGGGTGCTGAACAGCTCGGACACAGCCTGGGGTGGACTTGGTATTTCTCCTTGCTGGCTTAAAAAAAAAAAAAAAGAAGAGAGCTACACAGAAAAAAAAAAAAAAAAAAAAAAACAAACCACCCCAGGCATCCAATTAGCCCTGCTCACTGAGGTCCTGAAGTGTCAGCCAAGCAAATGGGCTCTGCTCGTGCACATGGCTGTGCGCAGTCACCAAAAGGGACCAGACACCCCTGAAACCAGGACAGCAGCCCCAGGGATGGCTGCTGGCATTTGCTAGCCTGGTCCTGATCCAACCTAGTGTCGCTCACTGTGGATTCAGACAACTTTCCTTGAACTCCTCATCACGCAAAGGCTTCCCGCTGCAGCCCATACACCAGGCAGGCACTAACCCACCTGGCCTTTCATCCTGCGCTCACACACTTTGCTGTCACCGTGCTCTTAGTGCTGTGCCCTCCGACCGCAGCCGGACACTGACCTGCAAACGCAGGACCGGGGAGGTCTCCGTGAAGGCAATGCCCACGGTCCCTGGGCGGAGGGCAGCCTGGAGGCCTGGGCAAGGCTCCCTGCTGGAAAGCTGCCCTTGCTGCCTCCTTTTGCAAAGGTGTAAGCGAACTCGTGCCGCAGTGGCAGTGCCGGTGGCTCTGCTGAGGGCTGAGCACGCTCGGCAGTGGCACAGCCGGAGGCATGAGCCAAGTTTCCAAAAAGGGCTCTGCAAAGCCGGCAGGCTCTCCTGACGATGCAGCAGGGCAGTGGGTGAGAGATCTCACTCTACAGCAGTCTCTCGTCTATACACTTAATTAAAATGTTAATTTGCTCGTCAAGAAAAAAAAAAAAGTTTTGTCCATGCCCTGTGAGCAGCGGCACCGCGAGAGGTGGCAGCACACCCGCCGCTACCCCGCACCTCGGAGCAGAGTGAATGGCGAGGCAAAGCGACAGACACCAGCAACGTCAGGCTGCCCCTCTGTGCCCAGAAGCCCTGAAACAGGGGTTGCTATTAGTTTTTTGGACAGAAATGTGGTAATTGCACCTTTCTGAAAAGAGAGAGACATTCTTACCCACTTGGTGGCACATGGTCTCCAAGATAGAATGACATCAGCCCCTCTCTCACCCTCCTATCCGCATCCTCTCTCTCCCTCTCTTTGCAAACCTGGACCAGCTGGAAACCAGCCAGGCTCAGGCTGAAGGCCTGGACAGGAGCCATGCAAGTGGGCAGAGGACGGAGAATAGAGGGAAGCTCCTGCAGGAGCAGCAGGGAGGAGGACACTGAGCTCCTCGCACCAGCCCCAGTGCTGCATGCTCAGATGCTGCCCAGCTCATCCAGGTTGCTGCTGCTTGCAGCTGTCTATTATCACAGCTGAAACCCATTTACATTTTAAAGCCCAACATCTAATAACAGCCTCAGAGCCTCTTTCTTTCCTCCTCCATTGTAAAGCCAAGTAAGATAGATCCCTGTTTACTTCAACAAGTTCTCATCTACTGTTGGGACCCAGTGTCCAGACAGCTGGGAGCTGTGCTGGGAAACCTGGAAAGGCAGGAGAAAGAGCAGGTAAAATCAGCACATATACAGTCCCCAGAAAAAAGGTGAGCCTGCTGGGACTGGATCAGAAATAAGTTTCTCACCACAGGCTCCAAAAAGTCCCTGTGCTGGGGTGGGAGGAGGGCTGAGCGCTGGCGCGGCGCTGGCTGCAGGGGAAGGGCTCGGGGAGGCGAGCCAGGCAGGACGGGATGAGGCGGCAGCTGTGCCGCCCGCGAAGAGGAGCGGAGCAGAGCAGAATGCAGGCGTCTGTGCCTGGAGGTGACAAACACCACCCTTGCAGACAGTGGCAGCCCCGTGCTTTTTCTAAGCCAGGACTGCAGCGTGCCCACCTAAACGCCCCTCTCATCCACAGGCTGCAATTTATGGCTTCAGCAGCCAGACACAGGGGCAGTGCCTGAACAGCCCACTGCTGCTGCCTGCAGCTCCATCGCTGCTGCTGCAGCACTTGGGGTTGGATGGGGCTCTCAGCAGGCTTGTGCTCCTCACTGCTACCCCATGGCTGCTCCCTGGGCCTCAGCCTCCCCGGCCAAAAGTCCCTGCTCTGCCACAGAAAGCAAAAGCTGCTTTATGTAAGTCCAGACCAGCTTCTCCATGTGCCCCAGAAGCCTGTTCAGGGGAGCAAAACCCTAATAAGTGAGAATCTGGCTGTGCTACTACTTTGGCCTTAGCTAGTTCCCCTTACATGGATGCACGTGACATTTCTAGTTCAGTTTTGTCTACTTTGAATCCTCCCGCTGGGCCTTGTCCTAATTTTGTTCCACCACAGCACAAGCACCCGGCAGCAGCCCAGAGCTGTTGGGGTTTTGGGGCTGGGGAGACTAGTGGCACCCGGCACTGACCAAGTGGCAACCTCCCCTACCTGACCCGCACCACAGCAAGCCTCCTCCAGAGAAGGAGGAGGAAAAAAAGAGCCTTTGCACGGGAAATTTCTCATTTGCAACTGGGTCGGGTCCAGACCACGATTCCCTGGATTTGCCCATGGGCACACGGAAGCCGTGCCTTTGGGCCCTACATGATCCTCAGCTCAATTTTATCCCTGAATTGTGCCCTACCAGTCAAATAAGGAAACACAGATAACGAGCCACTTGATAACGACTGACCAGCACGATAACCCATAAGCAGGGACGGAAAGGCATGGTTACTGCTAGCGGCGTTCCCCCTTCCTACAGCCCGAGCCGGGCGCTAAGGGCGGTATATTTTAATAACATCTTTGATGACCCGTCGGCAGATTGGGCAGCAGGCGTTGAGCTGCTTCTTCAGCTTAAGACCGCAGGTGTTGCAGAGGCACATGTGTCCGCAGGTGTAGATCACCGTGTCCACCTCGTTGTCAAAGCAGACGGTGCATTCCCCATTCTTGCTGCTTGATGGCTCCGGCGGGGGGAAGACAGGAGAGATGGGGGGGCTCAGGGGGGAGCTGGGAGCAGTCACTGCAAAGGAGGAGGAAGGAACAAGGTCATTTAGTCACCTGGAGGGTGCAGACCTGACAATGTACAACACGCACACCCTCGAGTCAAATTTTTTTAAGGCTCTTCCTTAGTCATTGCCTGGTTCGTTTGGCCAAATAAACACCAGTGTATTCTAACTGGTAGCACTGATACAGCTTCGGGCAGAGCCTGCCACCCCTCTTCTACAGACAGGGCAAAGCACGGCTTGCCTGGGCTTCCCCAAGCAGGGCTGTGATTTTGCACACCCCTTTCATGGTGTGGGTGTGCAGAGCCCCGCGCTCCCCGAAGCAGCTGTGCGCCACGCAGGGTGCTCCTGCGTCTCACCAGCCGTGCTGGGCAGCTGTGGGACAGTGCAACGGCAGTGCGTGCCAGGGATGGTACGGGGCAGAGCACCCAGGGCGGTCTGCCTGAGCCCCAAGCACCAGCGCGTGAGCGTTTACACAGACATCCCTCCAGCAGGAGAGCCTCGGCAGTGCGGAACGCAGCAGTCTGGGTGGGCAGTGTAAGACCCCCAGACATGATACCGCACCCGCTCTGTTGCAGCACTGCTGCTGCAGCAAGGGCAGCCCCGCACGGACCACTTTCACCAGACAGACTGACAAACTGAAGCGACACGGCCCTTCTTCAGGCTGTGAAAAGCTCCCCACTGCTTTGTGTTTTCTTCCAGTTACTTCTGTTGGCCTCTCAGGAGATGTAGCTTCTCCCCCCGAACCCTGCCCTGCTGTCTTGCATCATCTACCAGCCCCGACTCCTGTCTCGGCGATGCCGGCACAGCCGGGTGCCGAGGGCCAGGCTCTCCTTACCAAGCGATGACTCTGAAGCAGATGACGACCTGTTGACGCTGAAGGCCATGTCCGAGTCGCTGTCGTACTGCGAACCGCCGGGGGATCCTGAGGGAGAGACGGTCACTGGGCTGGACTGCACAGTGCCTGCAAACAGAGGAGAGAGCTGAGCCTGCCACGGGGCTGACAGACACCCGAGCCCCAGCTAAACGCCCCCCACCCCACGTGAGCAGGGTGCTTTAGGAGAAAGTCCAGGTGCTGAGTTAATAGCTGCCCCTTAGTAACAATACAGGTGCATGATTTTGGATGTGATGTCCAGGGCCTGGACCTTGCCCTGCCACTGCAAAATTTCTGTTCAGTGCTTCAGTGAAACAAGCACCAGATATCCGACAGCCATCCTCCGGGGTTCAAAGTCACATCCCCACGGTCCCAATCTCTCCAGCAGCAACAGCCTCATGCTATCACTGTCTCACTGTCGGGTCGGGGCAACTGGGAAAGGGCATTGCTTTAAATGAGAAAAACCTGCTTTACGAAGTCATTAACATCTGCTTTTCTGACGGAATCCTAAATGAGAGGAAAGGAAAAGCACTGTAACTGGTCACCAGCAATAGATCAAATATGACATCTGATACCTGAGCTGTGGCAGTGCTTGGGGAGTGACTGCTGTCCATCAGCAACACATGTGCTTAAACCAGAGCTGTGCTCACAAAACTCATTGCCCTTACCAAGGCAGGAGTTTCATACCTGTTGGCTGGAATAGTGGGCTTATAAAGAATCCCTTTGCAAAACAAACCATCCGAAACCCAGCTGTCCCCGCCACAGACATGCCTGCCTCCCTACCTGCTGCTTATTTTATCTCTCAAGTCTCATAATTTTCTGGGGGACTTATAAAGGCTGCATGCATCTATGTGACAACTACCATGCCTCACTCACTCTTGTTTGCAAACCTAGGTGAGATCAGGAGCTGCTTACTCACATCAGTGACCACCTGCTAAAGGCAACACTGTGAATGCAAATTCATAGCTCCCGTTCTGACCCAGGAAAAGTCACCAGTCAGGTGCTCCCCATTATCATTTCTTTTGGCTGCACTTACCCAATATTTTGAGCTGGTTGATTACACCGTGGATTGTAAAAAACACCCAGAGAGACTGTGAGGTGTCCACGCACATTAGCATTCCTCGGCTGGCTCCGTTCACCCCGTGGTGCACTTCTCCATTCGGCAAGACCATGAAACTGAGAATGTCGCCGCTGTTGAGGACTGGGAATGCTCGGTAGACCACCCAGTACTCCTTGCGATCCAAGAGAAAGTCTGGATCTGCTGGGAGCTCATTTGTCCGTAAAGTACTTGGATCACAAGAAGTGATGCCAAATGAAAGGGCCCCATAGTATGGCAACCCAAGATGTCCTACTTCCACAAAGAGGCTTTCACCGATGTGCAAAGGCCGGTCAGAAAACACCAAAGTCCTATTGCTTTCTTGCCAGTTGGTGCACGCAACCATACGGTCCTGAGAAAAGGTGATGTCAGGTCCACGGGTGGGGTGGAATCGCAGGTCTGTGTCCAGGAAGGCTGGGACGCCCTGGGCACGCTGCCGCCGATTTGGGCAACAGGGGATGATGTGGTTGTCTGTCGCAAGTCCTGGTACCCGACTTAGGTTTAGGTTTGCAATTTTGGCCACCACTTGGTTATTCTCCAGTTCGTTGTTATTGAAGTTGGCTGAATCATGGTTGCTCTGCGGAAGGCAAGTGCTGAGACGGGCAGTGCTGAGACGAGCTGTGGTCATGGTCTCTGCAAACATGCTATCTGTGAGATAAACCCAGTGATAAGGGACATTAGAGTCAAGATACAATTGCCTACTTTGATGCTTAAAATTGTTATTTTTTCAACCTACGGATTATCTGAATTCTGTTCCCCTGAATGGAAAAACAATGGAAAAATTAGCCAGAGGTCAATCACTAATAAACAGCTAGTAGTGGAGAGTCGCATGTGGAGCAGGCAGCAGGCAGAGAAATAGCTGCTTGTTGGCACTAGCTGAGGAAAAACAAGTGTTATGAGGTACCCATGTAATCTGGAAGCTCCTTGCACTGGTGAAATGGGAAAGGCCGTAAACCAGCATGGTCCTACAGCTTTCTCAGTAGAAGGGTCTAATAGCTTTGAGGTTGCTCTCTAGAAGAAGGAAACTTCTCAGTATCTTGTTGTCCAAAGGTCTTGTGCAAGCCAAATCCACAACACAGTGATGGACAAAAGAGCACAAGCATGAATATTCTTTTCACACTCCTTGCAATAGCTTTACAACTGTGAGGTGTCGAGGCATAGGCGTGTCCAAGAGAGGTATTTTACAAGAAGATTTCAAGACTTATATCTTGGGAGTGTTCACACCACTGCAGAGATTTTTAATCAAGAGCTTGTCACAAAAGCTACTTGCTGCAGGTGTTACAAAGAAGATTTTTACAGTACAGAGTTATTTTCCCTTTTCACAGCAAAGGGATTCTGATTCTTAATCTACTTCCCAGATTTTCACCTCAGCCATGCCAGGCGGGGGGGCAGTTCAGGAGTGCTCTCCCTTCTACCTCCAGCATTGCCCATGGTGGCTTGGACACTTCACTCTGAAGGTAAGGTATTAACCAGCTGAGCAAAGTCAAAGCACATGGAAGTTAAGAGTGTGCATGAATGAAGCAGGCTTCTGGTCTTCCCAAAGATGGAGAGGAGAGAAGCATCCCAGCACCAACACTGCCTGCTCCTTGGAGGAGAAAATCACCAGGCTTTTCCCAAAGAAGGAAAGACACCCAAATCCATCCAGCAGCAGCAAAGCAGAGGCTGCCTTTGCTCAGAAGCCCATGCAGGAGAGGCCACTGGTGTAGGCTGAAGGATGGACCAGCTGCTTCTCACAAGCACAGGGTAGCTGGTGAGAAATGCTCCCACAGAGGAGTAAGACACATCCAAGCTTCGTGATGCTGACGCATGCATTTTGTGCATCTGTATTTGAGCTATATTTCATAGCTTTCTTGAGTTGCAAAACATTGGGAGGAAGAGATAGGGAGACAAATGTGTCCGCTATGACACCACCACATCTGGGTGGGTCCCCTGGTGCCCCAGCTGGCTGAGCATCACCCTGATTCCTGGGACAGTTTGTGCAGCTTGGTACTTTGATCAAAAAAAGAAAATCAGAGTACACGTGCCCTCCGGCCAAGTCTTTCACTCTACACACTTGGATGCTGCAGGCAGGACTGAGGTGTGGGGGGCAGATATAAGCTTCATTTTATTTTTATAACTATAATCTGATGAGGAAGAAGGACTGCTCTGGTGAAGCAGCTGCACTGGCCAATACAGAAAACGCTCCTTCACCTCTGCGATGGGCACCAGAGGCTGGAGTGCGTCGTAACTGCAATTACGGAACAAGCTACTGGTAAGGTTTAATTACGTATTTGAGGCAGAGCAGGCAGGGCAAAGTGTTATTTATGTGTAGCCTTCTCGCCTGTAAAATAATTGGTATCATTTGGAAGAATATGAGATGAAGCTGCCTACCCAATGGACTAACCATTTCACAGCTTATCACTGTGTCTGCTTGGTGTGAGGATGAAGGCACCATACCCTCGAGCAGGTGCAGCTTAGTTTGGCAGTAAAAACTAAATCAGCTCCTAGGAGCCTCTGTGAAAGGGCAACACTCTTGTATTTTAAAAAGATTCCCTGTGGTGTAGACCAGTTCAAAACACTCCATCTAACACTGAATTCATTTGAAATTTCAATGCCGTAAAAGTCACGAAAGGAAAGTCCTTCCATGGCAATCGGCTCGGTTTGCTAATGGGAACAAATTCATCCCCTCTTGCAGCCCTCCCCAAGGATGATGCTTGTAAATCAGCCAGGCACCACCTGCATGCAGCGATCTGCTTAGGGGTGAGGGGAGATGTGGCACACGGTGGCAGGGAGCCCGAAGCACACAGGAGCTCGCACTACATTTTCTCATCGCTCTTCAGCTGGCTGGCTGCATCCCGTGCTGCAGCCAGTGCTTTGCAGACATACAGTGATGCCCATGTGTAAGGGAAGGATGGATAAATCGGGTTACGTCTGCAAACACTGCCTGCTAAACTGCCAGCCTAGGTGGGGACCAAGGCCAAGAGTTGAGAGAAAGGCTGGGGAAGGGCGCCAGGAAACTCTTGGGGAATGGGTGGTAGTTTTCCAGTGAACTGGTAGTAACTGGAAGCTGGGAAAGAACATGAGAATCCAGAACTGGTCATCTTTGTCTCCTCAGTCCCTGGGACCTTATGTAAAGCAGCACCATATTTTTCCATGCCATAGGAGCACATGTAGCTCAGAAAAAGCTGGATAAAATTACATGCGAAGATTTCAATTTATTCTTTCACATGGCTGCTATAATGTACAGCCTTAGGACTTTCCATCACTGACATCTCTGAAATATATTGCTTTCTGGATCCCCACTGCTGACAAAAGAAGAATGGTTAATTATTTCAGGTACAAAGCCAACAGTAAATTAGTTTTCTTAAGTGTTCCATAGAAATGACCAGCCAGATAGATCATGGCTCTATGGAAAGATCAATCAGAAGAGCAAGCCACAGGCCAAAACACACACCTACCTAGTATTTGCACTTCATGGGTAATTCCATAGACGTCTATGAGTGCCCAGAGAGGACCGGAAACTTTAATACCACAGTGAAACAATATCGGCTCCTCATCATTAATACTGTAGAAGACTCTCCCATGACGGTCAACCCAGAAGGCCAAGATATTGTCTCTCACAGCAAACCTCTCTGGCAAAGCTTTGGCCCAGTATCCAGGTCGGGTCACTAGGTCCGGACAGGCGTACTTTGGTATCTCGTCAGAGCTCATCTGCGATGGGTCATGAATGGTGAAGCCGAAGCGCAGGGCCCCGCTCCAGCCATGGTGCACAGCCACCAGCTTCAGCCTGACCTTCTCATAGAGGTGGATGGGCCGGTTGGTGAAGGTGACCCCATTGCAGAAACTGTTCCTCCGAGTGGCCCTGCGGGAGTGAGCATCCAGACGCACGTTCTTGCCTTTGGCTTGGGAGTGGAAACGTGGCGGCTCCGTGATAGTGAGGACCGAGCGTCTCTCATGGCTGCTGTTGGGCAAACTGTAGTAGGGGCGGCTGGAGACGGAGCGGGTCTGGTGGCTTGTGTCTGCAAAAGGAGAAACCAGCGGCTCTGTCAGAGGTGCTTGACCTGAGCCACGTGTTAGCTCAGCCTGGGCAACTGCAACTGACTTGCCACATGTGCTTTGCATTCCTTGCTGACAACCACACTATTTAATCTTAAAATGTTGTGCATGGCCACAATCTGCTCTTTGTTACACCAATTTAGCCCTCAGCTTTATGCAAATATAAGGCAAATGTGGCTCATGGGGCAAAGGTTAAGCAACTTCCCTTCTACGCCCTGCAAAGCTGGATGAAAACTAACATCCTTTTGTTCCCATCAGATGCATCCTATTGCACTCGGAAAGGCCCAACACTTGTGACTGTGGCTCCAAGTTTCCTATTTACATATCATGTGCTGTTACATCACCAGCTGGTGGCCAGAGTCACACCATCTCCGAGAATCGTGGCTGTTAAGATCAGAAGTGCCCAAGATGAACGCGGATGTAGGATATTGATTTTTGTGGGACATGCAGCCACTGACTTCTCTGTCCCTTAATTTTGTAATGATGAACGGAAGCTTTTGAATAACACGAACAAACCCAAGACATTTAGCAGCTGGAGCACTACCTCTGCATCACTGTACTGTTCTTCCAAAAATTCCAACCCAGCCCCTGGTTCACCTGTCAGATGCAACTGGCACACTAAGGAACATTACATCCCACAAAGCCTTGCCTTTACACAGAACCTCCCATTTGAGCTGAAAGGACTTTATAAATGATGATTGTTTTCAGCTTCACAGCACCACAGATGGCACAGAAATCCTGCCATCCTCATTTTACAGATGGGAGAAGGAGAATTTATGGGTGAGATCTTGCAGAATTTAAAGTCAATAGCAATTTCAAGACCAATTTAAAGAAAAGCAGATTTGAGGCCTAAAGTGAAGTTTATACAAGCGTGAAGCAGAAATGAAAAAAGCTCAACTTTTAATCTTAAATCTTAGCTATAAGTCCCCTGAGGCAGAGACAATCTCTTTTGCATATCCCTCAACACACGGGATCTTGCTCCAGGACCAGGGCTCCCATGACCACCACCACAGTGTTCCAGGCGCTTTGATCTCCCCATTTCCCACCCACTCCACCTCTTCTCCTCTTTGCACCTGCCTTTGTAGATTTTTAAAGCAAAAACGGAAAGCATCCTTGGTGCTCAAAGTCCTCCTGTTAAATATAAACTGCATCAGACACACACATTTATTTTGAAATATTTTGCCAAGTTTGAAGCTTTAGAAGCTGCCTGCCTGGCCCTTCCTTCAAACTGCTTCCTCCCTGTGTGCAACCCCTGGCTTTTCTTTGTGACAAGGGAAGGATTTTTTGACTCTTTCCTCTCTTTGAAAGAAACGCCAGAAGGTGCTGGGAGCTCAGCTGGGAAAGACGGCAGGAGAGCTGCAGTTGTGACACCTCTTTTTGCAAGCAAAACCATACCAGGTAGGGCAGCGAGATGCTGGGACTTGCATTTGTGTCTGCAGTAATAAAGGCTCTAAGGAACTGCTGCCTTTGCAAATGAGAGAAGAGGGGTTGCTGGCAAGATCTGAACACAGGATTATCCCTTGAAATCAGGCATCTGCAACAAGAGTCAAAGGCAAAAAGCTCCTGTTTGCATCAAGACAAAAAGGTCAGTCCTAAATTATGATAGGCAAATGCAGTGGCTAAACAAAAGATCTTTTGCATCTCTTCATTTGTACTGCACATGACAATTGCTGCGTAGCACAAGGTAATGGCTAATCCCTTTGTACACTAATGTAAATAAAAGCATCCTTGCTCGTACACCAGTGGGGAGGGGATTTGCCATTTCCATGCCAAGGCCATGAAGGCAGAGTCCTGGGGGAGATAGGGAGCAAAAAAGCCCCCCCTGGGTATTAAATCTCCTTGGGGAACCTCCACTCGCAGCAGAGTCATGGGCCAGGCTTCCCCCGGGGTTTTCCCAGTGCAGGAGGGGCTTTCCTGGATCTGAGGGGTCAGCCTCGGTCATGCTTGCAAGAGGTATGGGTATTTTTCTTCAGTTTTCCCAGGAGAAATCTCATTTCCTGCCTCCTGAAGAGCTAAAATGCAGAAGATGGCTGCTCTCGGCACAGACCCATCGGTGGCTCATGTGGGTGCTGCTCCATGTGTCTGCCTGCAAATGTTCCCAACAAATGATGCTGCTGCAGAGGAAATATGGTTTGGGGTTTCCTTTAGCAGAGAGAGGCATGGTGGCATGAACCCAGCCACCACGTAGAGCTGGGTGAGTGACCCCAAGCAGAGAGGGGTGAATCCTCCCCCTGGCCACGTTTTCCCACAGCAGCTCCCCATTTTTCATCTGGATTCACAGTCTTTGTGCTGTTCAACTGGGGCATGGTTTAAGCAAAGCCATGGATGGGTGCTGCCAGGACAGTCTCCGAGGGGCTCCTGCAGGGACCTGGTGGGCTCAGCGCTGCTCTTTCATTTCACACCCCACCCTGCTGGGCAACAGCCTCCCCGTATAGAGAAGTCGTCATTTTATAATCAATTGAGCTGCAATTTATTCTAAAATAGATAAAAACAACTCCCCTGTGAAAACAAGTGCCCTGGACTCAATGTCCCTGTGTTAGCCAGGAGGAGGAAGGAGGGAAGAGGGCTTTTGTTCTTCTTTCTGCTATCACAAGAATCCCCTTCTTTCCACCCCCTGTGCAGCACCAGCCTTCCTCCCACATTGACCTGCTGGAAAAAAGACACACGTAAAGACAGAGCATGGCAGGACACGCTCCCTGCATGCTCCCAGGCAGGTACTTCTCACACTGCTTTTGGAAAGCGTGGAGCACCAAGGCAGGAGTGACACTGACAGCAGCAAGACTGATGGAAGAATGATGACATGGGCACCGACTTCAAAAGCAGCTTTGGGTCCACCCCGCCTGAGAGGAACTTGGGGCCAGGGTTTGGCGCTTTTTTGTTTTGTTTTTTTAAAAACAGGAAAGCATATTGTGGCTAAACAATAGGAAAATCTTCAGAAGGAAATGAACGGATAATTTATTTATAACGCCGTTCCCCCCTTGCATGAACACCTGCCGGTTGCCACCAAGAATAAAGCCTGACATAACCCAAGGCAGGGGAGGCAGAGCTTTCCCACTGAAATACGTCTGAAGCTGAGTTTGGGCATGTGCTTTACCCATTATGTACTGACGGGGACTAAGTGAGCTCAACAGGATGTTTGTGCCTTTGAATTAACTGTACTAATTTGTGGCTCAGCTTCCATAGTTTGGATCACATTTCAGTCCGTCTGCTATGTCTCCAAACCCTCCTCTCTCCTGTCTGTGCTTTCCTCCCAAAAAGACCATCAGTGGGATAATGACAGCCAAGCTCGTGGCAGAAATGCCACCCTACCCAAGGGTGCCTGATGCCGTGACAGGCAGCTAAGAGCTACGCCAACTCCTTTTTTCATCTATGAGATTCCTACAACGCTTTGTGCAAGTAATTTCTTCTTTTTATGCTTCACTTCCCTGCCTAAGAGAGAGTAATAGTATTACTCCACCTCGCAGGAAGCTAGAAGGATTAAAAAACATAAGGTTCTCAAATACTTGAATCTCTGAGCCCTGTAAGCATGTCAGCAGGCTGGATAGATCATCAGAGGGGACACAAACCCACTTGAGTCCCCCTGGGAGATGTCCTGAGAGCCCATCCAGCATTTTGCTTCTTTTCATTCCAGAGTTTTCCAGTTCTCATCCCTACTCTCACCAACTACAAACATGATGCTCACAGTGTAAGTCCCTCAAATGCATGAGCAGGGCTTTAGCAAATATGAAGTAAGCCAGGAAAAGGGAAGAAAAAGTTGAACTGAAGGATTAAGAATGGTGTAAGGCTCCTCACTGAAACCTGCAAAAGAAACCTTTTTGGCAAGGCAGCATTTCCATCCACATCCTTATGGTGTCACATGGGTGGCACTGAAACAGATTTGGTTTATGGGTGCCCATGCTCTCAACTGCAAGTAGCTATCGCACATCTGAAACTTCACCTGCTTTCCAAAAGGCCAGCACATTTATTTCTTAGGTTATGCTGACCTTTTAAGAGGTATTTTAACAAACATGCACTTTGCATTTCAAAAGATACAGCAGGCAGACCCTGGACAAATTCCACATATTTATCATGGTTCCAGTTCTAAAAATAAACATTTTTTTTCACCCATTTGTTCGCAGCATAGGGTTTGCTGTTGCACTGTAATCCCACTGACAGCAGCAGACAAAATTCGGAACAAGAGCCCTCTCCAAGGCTGCTGCTCTCCGGGGTGTGGGACGGAGGAGGCTGCTTAGCTGGGGAGTTGACCTTAAGCCAGATTGATCCTGTCTTCACTTGCCCTGACAAGCCAGGCAGGAATAATACCACCAAAAGCCCTAAAATGGGGGAGAAGAGAATAATGTTCGAGGAGACCAGAGCTACAGCAGAGAGCTACGGCAAGGACAGCTTGACAGTCGGAGGAGGAGAACACTGCCTTCCCGATGCGCCACGGGTAAATCCATGGTCTGTATTAACTCTACAACCGCTGTATCAAAAGACATTCCCTGGGTCCCACTGCCCTCTCCTGAGGACGCCCTCCAAGTCAATCCATGACAAAAGATGCAGAGGATCACAAGGTAGAGCAAATTACGGGGCAGCCAGGTGCCAAACAAGGATGCATACTGGATAAAGCAAGGATGTCAAGGGAACAGAAATTACTGGGACCACTACCCTGTGAGTCAACAGCTCACAGGAGGCAGAGCTCATCAGCATGCAGCTGGAGTGTGGTCTCCCCATGTTGTTCAGAGAAAAGGCTGAAAGGTAGCCGCCTGAAATCTATGAATACTCACTGCTCAGGCAAAAGGGAATCCACCCAACACACCCGTGTCTTATCTTTATGGCTGCTGCTTTATCTGTAACATTAGAACTTTTTCCTATTACAGTAGATAGATAGGTTGCTGCTGCTGCTCCAACAACCCTGTTGAACATTAAACAATGCGTCTGGAGAGAGGGGGCAGGTGGCTTTTGCTCTGAAACAGGAAAATCC